GTGGTCCCGGGCCTCCATCTCTCCGTGTGATTCTGGACCTCCATCTCCCTGTGTGGTCCCGGGCCTCCATCTCCCTGGTGTGATCTTGGGACTGTCTCTTTCCTTCTCTGAGCCTCAGTGGGAAAGGTCCCCGTGAAGTTCTGTGGCTCTCCCTTTCCGATGAGCTGGGTCCCCACTAGAGGTCACTCACGACCCCATGACATTGACTCACAGTTTGACGAAGGGGTCTGAGTAGCCGTTGGCGTCCATGGCAGCCAGGTGCACGCAGCGTATGATGCCCACGATGAGGCCGCCCTGCTGGGTACTGTACATGAGGGACACCAGGATCTTGCCCCGCTCCTCTATGTCCCCAATGCGCTCCACCTGCTGCAGGAGGGAGAGGCCGTGAGGGCCTGGGAGGGGCAGGGTGCAGGGACCATGGGTGGCCAGCACTGGGGAAGAGGCCGGGCGGAGGGGAGGGACTACAGGGCCGCCAGTACTGAGGGAGAGGGCGTGAGGGCCTGGGAGGGGCGGGGTGCAGGGAACACAGGCGGCCAGCACTGGGGAAGAGGCCAGGGCAGGGTGGAGGGGAGGGACTACGGGGCGGCCAGCACTGGGGAAGAGGCCAGGGCAGGGTGGAGGGGAGGGACTACGGGGCGGCCAGCACTGGGGAAGAGGGTGTGAGGGCCTGGGAGGGGCAGGGTGCAGGGACCATGGGCGGCCAGCACTGGGGAAGAGGCCAGGAGAGGGGGAGGGACCACGGGGCGGCCAGCACTGGGGAAGAGGCCGGGCGGAGGTGAGGAGCCACACTGGCTCTACTGGGGGACTGAGCACCATGGACAGCGGCAATAGCCCAGTGTCCAGGGATGGACAATGGAGATTCCGATCCTGTACAGCTAAAGGGACCAGGGTGAGGTGGACGGGGGCTGCTGGCTGTACAGACGGACCCCAGAGACACTGCGGGTTTGGTTCCGCACCACGGAAATCGACAGCACGATAAAGCAGGTCACTAAGTGTTTGGTTCCCAGGAGCTCTGGCGGTGTGGTCGGTACCCAAAGGTCCACGTCCCCAGCGGCCGGCACCAGATGGGCAATCTCTTCCTGTGCATCTACGGCTTCCGCCACGCAGCGAGGCTCAGCCATGCGCTGCTTCCCACTCGGCGGCAACATAAAAGGTCTATCTCCGCGGCAGGGAGGCGCCCTGCTCTCTCAGGCAGAGGGGCCTCTCGGGCAGTTCGAATCCACCAGCTGCTGTGTCGGACAAAGACGGGCAATCTCCTCCAGCGTGACTCACAGCCTCCAATGTCCTGCTGGAGGGTCTGCTGTGGGTTGGTTCTGACTCTACCGTAATGGCTTTTTATTGCTTGTGTTCTACGAAGAGTGTAACAACATTATGACGAGCTTCGAGACATTCTGAAATGCTCACAATGTGACCGGAGACGGGAGGCGAGCACAAGCTGTTGGGAAAACGCCACTGGTAGACTTGCTCATGGCGAGGTTGCCCCAAGCAGACGATGGAAGTCGTTGAAACGAGGCGTGCCTGCACGTGGACTTAGACACAGAGCCCAATGCACATCCTGAGTTTGATGCTGGTCGCTGACCGACCTTAGCTCTGATCCAGGACTGAGCCTTGGCACCCATACCCATCACTGGCCGCTCTCAGACTTGTCCGAGCCAACTCAGAACTGCCTCCTAACTGAGCCTCCAGTGAGTTCTCAGAGGCTGTAAATCACATGAGAGGAGACTGCTCATCTTTTTCCCGCTGAGCAGCTGGTGGATTTGAACCGCCTGCCTTTGGGTTGGCAGCATGGCTCCTTACGACCACCAGAGCTTGAGTGTTCTCATAAATGCAGTCCTGGGGCCTCATGCACCCTGCCAGTCACAGTTCTGAGAGCCCACCTCCACCCCGGCCAGCAGGGGGTTGGCCAAGGAGGCATGGAGCTTAAGGGGGGGTCTCAGTGTGAAAATGGGTGCCCCCTCCTCAGGGGTGGACGAAGAGGGGCCACACTGGTCTTGTCTAAAGCCTCGTGGAGGAGGGCAGCTCGTGCGGTGAGCTAACCTTATGGGCAGGCGGACGTGGGGAATGTGGAGGGGGAGAGGGAAAGGGGTCACCAGGCCCCGCTGGAGCAGTGTCCACCCCACCTGGGCCCTCAGCCCCTGGGGCTCACTCACCTCCTCCTCATACAGCGCCATGCCTCGGGCCGATCCCGTGGTCCCCGCACGCTTCATCTTCAGAGAAGGAAACAGAAATGTTACCTGGACGCTCATCCCCAAATAAGGACCAGGGCCCCCACTTCCACCTTCATGGTGGGTTCGTCAAGCTCTGAGACCCTCTTAATTTTCCCCACTGAGCTAAAATGTACAGAGCACGAGCTACTCGACTATCCCCCTTGTACAGACAGCGACACTGAGCGGTCAGACCACTTGCTCAAGGTCACACAGCCGGTGACTGACCCCGTATTTCTTGGTATAAAACAGTAAGATTTCTCCAGGCCTGGCACACAGGTCCTCTGATTGGGAAACCCAGTCTGAAAACCACTGGTTAAGTTCAATCTACCCACTTTACAGAAGAGGAAGCGTGAGGTCGAGAGGGGAGAGGACACTGTTTATGACTCCTCAGCAGGGAACGGGGTGGGGGGACACTGTGGGAGGGTGGACAGAGAGAAGAAAACCCGGCACATCTGTGGCTGCTGCAGCCTCTCCCTGCCCTGTGGAGTCCACCGCTGCAGGCTGGGCGGACCCAGGCAGTGAGGATCTGGTGGGGTCCCGGCTTCTGTCGTGGGCAACTCTGCCCACTGAATGCGGAGAGACAGGGAACCTGCAGAGGCAGCGGTCAGCAGGCAAAGTCCCGCAGGAAGTTCCTCTTGCCCCGGATGCCCCTAGTGATCTGCCTGGAGCCTGGCGTGTGGGGTAAATGCCTCCATGCAATTTGCCCAGAGTCTCGCTTCCTGGCCACGCTATACAAACACGGAGCGGCACACGCATGTTCTACTTCTGAGCCGGTCAGCTGGTGGGGGGTGTGCAGCGGGACCCCCTCTTGCTCCCAAGGCTTCCTTGTGAGGAGCTGGCCCTCGGTCCAGGGGAGCAGGGACTCGGGGTGGGGGCTGCAGGAGGGAGTGGACCCAGCACAGGCTCTGTGCACTGCTCTGCGTGTGACCATGGGCGGCCCTTCCTCCCGAGGGCCTAATGTGTCCCATCTGTGAACTGAGTGCAGGCTGGCTGCTCTCACAAATGCCCCATTTGGATCTCTCTTTACTCCAGAAGTCAGGGTCTCCAGGGAGATCTCCACAAAGCTTAGTTTGCAAAGCTCTGGTTTTAGGATCCACAGGTGTCTGGACCCCAATATGGTCTCCACTGTCTCAAAGTGCAGGTGTGACACCTGGCCACGATGACAGGAACAGTGGTCCTCATGTCTTACTGCACTGCACCCCACACTCTTCTATGCACCTATGCAGCTGACATTATGCGAGTATCCCCATTAGACAGCTGACAAAACTGAGGCCTGGAGAGCTGGAGCGATGTGCCTCAGATGGTGCAGTAAACGGCAGAGTGCGGATTCAAACCCAGGCAGTCTGGCCCCACAGTCCATGTTCTCCAGCACTATGCTACACACTTAACTCTTCATTTACTAGTTTACTATCTGACATTTCAGGTTTACAATAGTTAAAAACCCTGACTGCTTCACGCACTGGCGACAACGGCCTTGTAGTAACGCGTGCCGAGGTGCGAGGTGAGGACAGCTCCGCCCGTGACAGTCAGGGTCCTGTGCCACGTGGGCTGGGCCCGGTGCTCAGAGGGTCGGCAGTTACGTGACCAGGCAGTCAGTCACCCCCAGTTTTCAAATTAGCCCGATTTTCGCCTAGCAACTTGGTCTCTGGAACCCAACGACGCTGCTCAGCAGGGCGTGAGCACTGCCCTCTGTGCGTCTGCGTGATGCATTGGGATTTGAGGGCTGACCGGGGGGGACAAGGCGGGCTCCCCCATGTTAACACCTCACAGCTCACGAGTGCTTCTTATGCCCTAGGTTCTGCTCTGGTTGTGGATTTTATTCCCTCCTATAAGCTGGGAGCTGCAGCTATGCCCACTTTACTGATAAGAAGACCCCAGCTCACGTGACTCGCTTCCTGGGCCCAGGGACACCCACGCCCCGGGCTCTGAGCTCAGGTGGGCCATACGTAGCTCTGAGCTCAGGTGGGCATTACGTTGCTTCCAGGTTTCACCAACAAGGAGGACAGTGCCTCTGGGAGAGGTCACGCTGGCACAGGGTCGAGGCGGAAGCAGGAGGCAGGACGTGTCCTGGCCAATGTCCTGGCCTGATGCCTTCACCCCGCACTCTGGCACCCTGGGGGGGGGGGTTCTACTCCCTCACCTGCAGATGCAGAGGAAGGGGTCCCCAGCACCACCCCCCGCACAAGTCCCCGCAGACACTCACTGGGACGACCCGCTCCAGACAGATGTTGAAATTCTTCCTCTGATTGGGCTTCAGCTTCTTGAGAGAGAACCTGGTCTCCCCGATGAACTCGTTGTGGCCAAACTTGTCCTCATCGCAGACGGAGATCCTGAGGGGGGCAGAAAGGGTTGGGGAAGAGGAACACGTGTTACGAGCTTATGTTACGGACGGGCTAAGGGCTGTGGATGATGCGTGCAAGGGGCCTGGAACGTGGTGCCTCGGTGGTTAAACACCTTGTTGACCCAAGCGTCCCCAGTTCAAGCCCAAGTCATTTTGCAGGAGAAAGCTAGATATAGCCGTCTGTTTCTGTGCAGATTACAGCTTTGGGATTCCCGGGGGAAGTCTCCTCTGTATTAAATGGGTGGTAAATTGAACTTTTCGAGGCCTGGTATATTTATTTATGTTTGTTGTTAAATACTTTCAAGTCAGAGCTGACCCTCCAGCAGGTTCTCAGAGGCTGTAAATCACATGGGAGGAGACTGCCCGCCTCTCTCTCACAGAACAGCAGGAGGATTCGAACTGTGTGCCTTCAGTGTAGCAACACAGCTTCTTACCACGAGGCTGACAGAACTCCATTTATATATTTTTTTAAAACCTTTGATTGCTGCCTAACTTACATGGTAAGGTGCATCCACCTGAAGCTTACAGAGCTAGGAATTTTTATGTATATTTACACCGATGGGATCACCATTCAGACCGAGATGGAGAACATTCCAGGCCTCTGAAAATGCTCAGATCCCTCTCACAGATGCGCTCGTCTTGTTTTTGACCTTAGGTTTAATGGTGCATCGCGCGCCCTGTTTTTTGCTTGGTTCCTTGTGTTCGACGTCACACCTGTGACTCTTTCGGATACTCAGCGATCCGTCCTTTCGATTGCTGCATATTCCACGGTGTAAACATCCCCCGTGGTTATAAAGTCCATTTGAGTCGGTTCCAACACAGTGACACCAGAGAGATAGAGAGGGGGCAGCACCTGGTCCTGCCCCCACCTCGCAACTGCTGCCGGAGCCACCACCTCAAGCCATCTCTCTGGGGGACTCTGTCCTTTCTCACTGACGCTAACATGAAGCCCTTCTCCGGGGAGGTCCCCTCCTGAGAACACGCCCAGAGCAGGTGAGACGAAGCCCCAACATCCCCGCTTCTGAGGGGCATTCTGGCGGCACTTGCCCCAAGACGTGTGTGTCAACACATACACAGTGCTTACGAAATGTGCGCTTATCTAAACGGATGTTGAACTGAAACAAAAATTGTTACTTCAATTGCACAGTGTCCTCTCTTTTAAGTAAGTGTAATACGTTTTTTTCCCAGTAAAAAGATATTTAATTTTGTCACCACAAATCTTTTGTTAACAAAGCAGAATTCCAGTTTATAATGAAAACAAAAGCCAAGTAAGTAATCCAATAAAACAGAACTAACTAAAAGAAAATACATAGAAGAACTAAAACTTAACAGAAATAATTAAAAATCCCCTCATTGGGTGAATATCATGACATAAGGATCAAGGGAGTGTACAACAGGTAACAAATTATGAAATGTTTTCATCCTCCCTGAAATTTCTCCTTAGAAGCAGAGAATTCAAATTAATGCTGCCACCTAGTGGCCAGCCAAACCAGGCCGCATACTGGGGCAAAAGTGGGGATTCAAGGCCCAACTCTGGGAGTCCCTGTCTAACTCAGGCCACCAACTCCCTACCTTCCTGCAAAATCAACACAGCAACATAGCTCAAAAAATCCCTCCTCAAGAGTCGCAACAGCTTATAAGAAAAACGGCTTTGCTCGTTCCTCTGCCCATTTTAAGGTCAGCTTGCCTAGTCCCATGGGCCAGGAAGGATGAGACAGAATGTGGGCACATCCAGAGTGCTCCTCTGTTCAGAGTGTGTACACAGTAATTTTGATGTCTGTCCCCTCAAATACCTCCTCGATCATTGAGGATACATTCTCCCACTGCAGACGATCAAGGCCACAGCCAATCCTTGGCATGGAGAGGCTGGTGACTCCGGCTTCTAGACAATGTGATTTCATAGCCTCCAAACTCTTCTGTAAGTTTTCATATGTTGGTTTATGTGAAGCCCTTTTCTTTGTAATCAAGTAATATATATACCGCCCATCTCTCTTCAGAACAGCCACTTCTCCAGATTTCTTTTGTTGACTTATCAGCTCTTGCACCCCTCCAAACTTCTTCTTGAAAAGGACTGCTATCCCAGCACCCATTCGGCAATCCTCACTGATGCAGTGGGCTAGAGAGTCTGTTTTGGGGCATGCAAAAAGGTCTCCTTTTACATATTTGATTCTGCTTCCTTCCGTATCTTCATTAGGGCTGCCAGCCATGGTACTACGTCGCTAGTTCCAGAGCCTACGTGTGTCTTCAGCAGGGTCTCCCTTCACGTGGAAAGGAGTTGGCACCTAGGAGGCCCCCGCCCCGGGAGGAAGGGATCCGCATCCTGCGCTGGTAGGTGGGGAGCCCGGACAAGCCCAGAGGCGGAACCAATCCCGCTGCACCCCTGTTTGTACGCACCTAAGATGGCCGTAAGTGTAATATGTTGTTATGTGCCGTCGAGTTGCCTGCGACTCATAGCGACCCTCTGTACAACAGCCCTAAACCCTGCTCTGTCCTGTGCCAGTCTCACTGTCTCTGACACACCCATCCCGAGTACCCCAGTCACTGAATCAATCCACCTCATAGAGGGTCTTCCCCACCTGTGCTGTCCCTCCACCCACCCATATAGGTAAATAAATGGGTGTTGGTGCGTGTTTGTGAGATTCAGGCTGGAGGAACTTCCTCTCACTGCTGTCTGCTCAAAACTGACCCGGAACTGACTCTCCAGCGGGTTATCAGAGCTGTAAATTGGACAGGAGGGCGTTACCCATCATTTTCCCACAGAGAAGCTAGTGGATTCAAATCATCTGCTTTTGTCCTCTAGAAATTTCTATAATGAGAATGCGCTCACTAATTATATATGTAATTTTTTAAAAAAGTTTTTATTATTTTTTTTAGTGTGTGTACCGTCAAATCGGATCTGATTGGTACAGGAGGAGATTGCCCCTCCATCTCCAGCACAGCATCTGGTAGATTCAAACCACTCACCTCTGGGATTGCAGTGCAGCTGCTTGCCACTAGGCCACCAGAGCTTGCCTACATATGTAATTTAAAATTCAATTGAATAGCGCATTGTAGAAGAAATGGCATCTACATATTGTTAAATGAGACAGGTAGGTTACTTAATAGGCTATTTTGTTTCTATAAATACTCAAGTTTTTTTTTTAAAGTTTATCTACAAACACCTACACATTGGCACACACAGATACACATACGTCCAGACACCAAGATGTTAACAGCTTCACGTGCCTGTCTGTTCAAATGTTTTCACTAGAAACGTAGACTGTACTTGTAGGAGGAGAAAACAGCAGCTCGGCCGGGAGCCTTTACAGCGGGGGTCCCGGCTATGTGTGAGCTTGGCCCCCTGCCCTCCGCCCGGTGGTACCTGAGGGTCTTCCTCTGCATGTCCTCATCCGTAATGCCATGATAGACCAGGGTCTCGTTCCAGATGGGGTTCCGCGTGTTCCGCAGGGTTTTCGTGCGAAGCTTGTTGGACTATAGCCCAGAGGGAAGGACAGACAGACGTGTGCCTCAGCCCAGAATCCATGCTGAAGTCCCTCTTTGGGGCTGATTTGGGGGTGAGTGGGTGGGTCCCCCAGGAGTGTCCAGGGGCTCAATTGCTCCAAATGCACGATCTCAGGAAAGGGTGACCTCTGAGGTCAATGGATTAATGCCGGGCCCTGACCCTCCACCCCAACCCCTCCACCTTCTGACCCCTTGACTTGACTGACAGTTAAGATCAGAAATCAAAGACAACTTCTTTTGAGGAAAAAAAATATTACAAGTTGTTAAATACTTGTAGGCAGTAAAGGGACAATTTCTGGGGACTTGAGGGGCCATTGTTCTTGTGAACATCACCCTCTAACACCTGACATCACTTAGAAAGGGACAAAGATTTTTATTTTATCCTAAGAGAATATTGTTCCTGCTGCTGGAAATGCAATTATACCTAGAACGGGCAGTCTAGGAATAAGTTTAATTTATACTAACATGTGAATGACTTGTCTCTGATCCTTTGCCAAAGCAGGTCTGCATTCATTTAGGGGTGGGCAAAGGGGAGAGTGGCCAGGGGAGGCAGATGTCATGGGAGTCAGAAGATGGGGTGGCCAGAATGTTTACAGTCTGGTGTGATTGTAAATCTGTGATCCACATAAAACACCATGAGGTTCTCTGTCTCTCTCTCTCGGTGTGTGTGTAGCATCTGACACTTGCTGAATTTTCAGCAGGCCTTCCTTCAAACCTTGGGAGCTGTCTCCCTTACTTCAGGGCTAGCAGAGACAGCGGTGGGGGGCATTAAGGGAGTATACTCCAGAGCTCTCAGGACCAGCGTCCTCCCAGAAAGGGTGATTCATGGCCATGCAGAGCTGAGGAGAGTTCGGCCGGGGCCTGGAGTGGAAGGGGAGATGGATCCTGGACAGCACTGGGGACACAGCAGATGCGTGAGCAGGTGAGGTGCTCGCTTCCCTCATGGATCTCCAGGTTTCCGGGTTGGAGAAACGGACCCTGGTCCCCTGAGGGTAGCTCCCGTCCCTGCTCTTCCCCTTCACTAGGGCTCTGCCACGCTTGGGGACGTAATAGGGGCACACAGGGCTATTTTAGGCCTTGATCTAAGGCCCCTGGGCACCTGGCATGCCCAAGTGTCCTGCCTGCAGAGAGGTCTGGGCCATATGGTACCTTGCTGGCTCCCGGCAGGAGGTGCAGCTTAACGTAGGGATCGGCCAAGCCATTGGAATCCATGGGCTTCAGTCCCTGCAAGAGGAGGAGGTGAGGGGGGCAGGTTTCAGCTGCAGAGGTGGTGAGCCCGCCCCTCCCCTGCCCTGCCCTTTGGCCCCCTGTGGGCTTCCTCCTCCACAGAGACAGGAGGATGAGCAGCCCCGGAACCAGGCAGACGGGTTCAAAGTCAGGCAGTGCCACCTCTTAGCTGTGTGACCTTCACTAGGTTTCTTAGCCTCTCTGAGTCTCAGTTTGTTCACCTGTCCAATGGATGAGAAAGCACCTACTTTGTGGGGTGGTGAGATTTAGCCGTGGCACCCCTGCAGGTGCCTGGCACTGTGCCCAGCATGGAGTAAGTGCTTCCACTGTTGTTGGGAGGAGGTATGTCAGAGTAGGAAGGGTCAGGTGGGGAGGCAAAGCTGGACACAGGCACAGAGAGGCTGAGAAACTGCCCTCATATCACAGAGCTTGGAAACAGCAGAGCTGGTCTTTGAACCCAAGGAGCCTAGTTCTTGAGGTCTTGCTTGTACTTTTTGAGGACCAGAGGGATCCTGGCCCGTGATTGACTAGGTCCAGCCTCCCTGGGGTCTGGGACTGAAGCCTGGAAGAGGAGGCGATGCCCTTGAATCCAAGCCTTCCCCACCCCAGTAAGCCCAATAGGCCCCCAGCGTGGCTGCGGCTCCGGCGTACGGTGCTAACAGTCAGTAGGAGAGGTCAGGCAGGTACATGGAGAGTGTCCAAGTGTGTGAGTGTGTGTACATGAGTGAGCGAATGTGTGGCGTGTGTGCACGTGCACATGTGTGAGTGTGTGGTATACATATATGCGTGAGTGTGTATGCATGCTGTGTGCCTGTGCATGTGTGTGCATGTGTGTATGCATGAGTGAGTGACCGTGTGGCGTGTGTGCACATGTGTGAATGTGTGGATATGCATGCGTGTGAGTGTATATATGTGTGTTTAGTGTGTATGCATGAGTGTGATGGTGTGCGGATGTGCATGTGTGCATGCTGTGTGCACGTGTATCCAGGAGTGAGTGACCGTGCGGTGTGTGTGCACATGTGTGAATATGTGGGCATGCATGTGTGTACACGTGTGTGCACGTGTGAGTGTATGACTGAGTGGTGTGTATGTGCTCACACGTGTGATGGTATGGATATGCATGCAGGCACGTGTGTATGTGTGTGTTCATGCGTGCATGCATGGACCTGTGAGTTTGTACACAAGACGCAGCAGTCTGCACGCAGGTCCCATAGACAAGCTGGGGTGCAGGCCGCCATGACCCGCTGGGTCCCTCCAGAGATAAGCACCAAGGGCCTGGGCCACGCTGCAGGCCCCAGCTCCCAGGACACAGCCGCAGTTAAACAAGCCCCCGGTGGTCCTGGTCGGAGGTCCTCCCCATAGCAAGACGCAGTGCCAGCTCCTGGCTCTATGTATCCCCATCGCCCTCACAGACATGAGTCAGGCCTGCAGCTCCCCCTCCACGAGCCCCGGGCCCCCCGGCCGGGCCCTCACCCACCTTGGCCTTGATGATGGTGCACTGCAGAGAGCTGTTGTCCTGGTCATAGAGGAGGCTGAATTCCAGGGCTCCCAGGGTGGCTGACGCGGCAGAGACAAGGACCCAGAGAACAGTCATGTGGTCAGTCAGCAAACATTACCGCTCACTGTGTGCCCAGTCTAGGCTAGCCATTGAGACCATGGAGAAGAGGAAGACTCGGGAACCACCCCATTCTGGGGCACCCCTTCTTCTCTGGAGTTGTCTGCACATCAGCGATGGGTTAATCTGTTGTCTGGTTAAAGACTTCCTGTCGGATTGGGAGCGCAGTGAGGCTGTGGTCCTGTGTACGCGGCTGTGTCCCCACTGTGCGCAGTGCGGGCAGAGAGTAACTGCTCATTCATTTGCTGAAGAGACCAAGTGCCATCAAGCCAAACTGACTCGTGGGTGAGAACGTGCACGCACAGGGGTGTGTGTGAGTGTGACAGTGTGTGTACGTGGATATGCACCTGAGTGTGTAAAAGTGTACTGGAATGTGTGTTCATATATGTACAAATGCATGTGAATGGAAGCTTTTTCTCCTGTGGAGCAGCTGGTGGATTCAAACCACACACCTTTGCACCGGCAGCACAATTTCTTGCCACTAGGCCACCAAAGCCCCAACTTGCACAATACGTTACTAAGCTCTGTAGACTATGACTCCCAGCAGCCTGGTAAGTCAGAGCACAGCAGTGTTAGAGGCTGTAATTCCTCCCAGAAGCAGATAGCTCCAGCGCTCCAGCAGGGTTCAACCCGCCCACCTTTCACCTAACCACGCTCAGGGCTCCTTCCGTGCATTTATTAGGGCGGCCTGTGGGGTCTAGTGTGTATGAGGATGTGCCTGGGGCCAATCCTGCCTCCCTGGGTGACCCAGGGGCTACAATTCCAACACAGCTCAGGTAAGTGTTTCCTACTTGCTTCATCCGAGTCGTAGCTGTTGGCCTCTTCCTCATCCTCCTCCGGGGGTGCAGGCTGGCGGGCGGGGGCTGCAGCGGGCGGAGGGGCAGCAGGTGCTGCCTGGGAATAGGGGCCAGGTGGGTGGCCCACTCGGTCCTCCCTTGGTGGGCCTGCTGGGTAGCCCCCTGCTCCTCCGGTTCTGTCCTCCCGAGGGGTGGCCGTGGCTCCTGGATAGCCGGAGTCACTTGGCGTCGCCTCTGCAGGGACATGGGGAGAGGACAGGAGGGCCACTGCTCAATCACCTGGAGACCAGAGCAGCAGCTGCTGCTCCAGTGTCACTGGGAGCTAAGAGCACCTACTGTGTGCCAGGTGCACCTACTGGGAGCCAGATACACCTACTGTGTGCCAGGATCACCTACTGGGAGCCAGATAAACCTACTGTGTGCCAGGAGCACCTACTGGGAGCCAGATACACCTACTATGTGCCAGGAGCACCTACTGGGAGCC